AACGGCTGGACGGCCGGACACACTGACCGATTCTAGAGTGTACTCACTTTTTGAGTACACAAAAAAAGGCACTAGTTGATAACAGAGACAACAATGATAAATCGGTTTTCTTACCAGTATAATGTTCTGTCCATCGATCAACTATAATACAAAAACTATCCATTTTTTCACAAAGTTCAATTAGTTGCCTTTTGACAATATCATATATTCGAGAAATGTCCCTACTAATCTAAAAATATAGAAAACAATTGTACAGCTTCGAGTTAAATAATATAAGAGTTTTTGAATTTTTTACCGTGGTAGGATGTGGAATAAGTGCTTCCACATCTAGTGAAGATGTGTTGAGTACACGACCAGCATCAAATACTTGTTGTAAACGACTTTTGAAACCGTCACCTGCCATTGTTTCAAATGCTCTATTATCAATAGCAGCAAATTCTGCACATGAACGTAATATTGCTGATTTAATACGTTGTGGAACTTGATAAGTTTTTGTTGATGAATAAAATTCTTTAACACTTTTTTGATCACAGATACTTGTTTCATTGGGTTTACTACATGATTTCAAATGTGTTTTCATATTATTCGTGCCATTAGAAGATGTAAAAAAAAGTAGGGCTTTGCACGAATTACACAAAACGTATTGTTGTCGTTGATTATTGATGAAAACTTGGTGGAAATTATCCCAAACTTCACTTGTATTCTGTGTTTTTTTTTAGGTACTAATTTCACAGAATCATCATCTTTTTTGATTAAATTTAGAATTTCTTCTCGTGACAACAGCTTAGCACTCATTGCAACTTTCTTTAACTGACTAAGAAATTTAAAATTTTATTAACTTTTTTTTTCTGTGTAACAATCAACATATCCATCTATTCGCTCACAATACTCTCAAATCACGTTCAATTTGTTATATTGCTATGGCATTAAATTATATTATATCGCCGTATGCAGAAGGTGTTGCTAATGTATGGGAAAAAATTTCGGAGTTTTTTCGGAGTCGGAGTCGGAGCCATTT